TTGCTCATTTTTTTTAATTTTTTTATATTTTATATCACTTCTTTAACTTTTTACATATTATATTTATATATGATTAGTAGGGTCGAAATATTTCTTATTTTTATATTTATTTAAAAATGTTAATTAATTATTAATATTTATTAAATTAACTGATATTATACTTAGTTTTTAAATATCAAGATTTTGAATTTGAGTCTTATATTTATAAAAATAATTAATATTTAATATTATTTTTTATTATTTAAAAATAAAATAATCCAACAACTAACAAAGACACTGGATCACGAACCAGAGACCGCAGCCAACAATTTTCCAACCCAAAGAAAAAAAAAAAAAAAAAAGATTCAAACCATTGAATTACCGATTTTGATTTCTTTTGGGTGAACCGTAAAAGTCAAGCTCCAATGAAATACCGCAACCCAAAAGAAAAAAGATTGTCAATCAGACCTACTTAAATCTAAAATTGTAAAAAAAAGTAAGGATGTTTGAAAAGTGAAAACTTTTCAAATTTTAAGTAGTCTTTTTCTACTTTTTCAGATATTTGAATTTACTCTTAACAAAAAAAAAAAAAAAAAAAAAAAAAAAAAAAAGTGTCAGCACAAGACACTAACATTTCGCTATTATATCCTAAATAATATAAAGATAAAAAAATCATTAGTTTTAAAAGGTAAGTATCGAAACTAAAATTCGAAAAATCTTCAAAAAATTAAAACCACCGTTCAAAAAGGCTTTTCATCGTCAGCAATAAGAAATGATAATGTTTAATTTTATTATTATTATTATTATTATTATTAAAGAAATTAAAATATTTCATATTTGTATCGATTACACATATAAAATATTAGATAATTACAAGTAATTATTCAGAAAAAATATGAGAAATTATTTTTTGTTTAAATCTAAAAAATATAATAGTTACTAAAAAGTGAAGATTAAAAATACTTATATATACTGATATCTCTTTCATAATCTATAAGTCACCAAAAAAATTATTATTATATTATTATTATTATTATTATAAAATTTAATAAATTTATTTCATATATATAATAAATTATAATTACATAATTAAACAAAAATTTAAAACTATTATTATATATTATTTATAATATATAATAGAATGAAATTATATAGATAACAAAATAATTACACTGTTGCATACTTTACATGTAACGACCCGGCTGGCCACTACACTCACAACCACAGCGAACCGGAAATATTAGACAGAATAGAACGAGTTTATAAATATAGGATCTAGAATATAAATATATACAAGGGTCCCAATCCGACTAGAGTTAGGATGTACAACACAAAAATACATCCAAAGCCACTATGCCAAGTGGCTGAAACAAACAACGCATCCAGATACACCACCTATCCCTGCTCTGCTCCCATACATAGTATGATCATTGCAGTCCAACCACATGGAAAACAACAAAAGGGTAAGCTAGCATAAAAAGAAACCACATATAGGAAGATTTAAGTAATAAGAACAACTACAATTTATCAACACTTCATCAATATGCATCCCGTCAATCCTTACAGCATAATCATCCATAAGCATACAATGCGTCGTCACGCATATCAACTCGGAGATCTCCTACAACAACTCAGCCTTTCGGCGTACAACAACTCAGTCTTTCGGCCTACAACAACTCAGTCTTTCGGCCTACAACAACTCATTCAACATACAACACAGCACACCACATCATTTTACAACACATCAACACATCTTACAACAATATTCATCTAATACAGCCCAACATCATCAACATCATTATCTACTAGTCACCACATCATATTCATCTATTTTAACTCAACTTATCATAAAATAACATTAACCATCAAATATTAAAATCTCATCTCCGCGCCCGGCGCACTCGTGGTTGCGCCCAACACAGTGCAACCCGAGAGCACCAGGGGACCAGCGCGCCTGGCGCGAGCATGCCCGCGCCCGGCGGGACTCAACCAGAGAGCCC